ATGATATATATGTATAAGTATGAATGTATATCAGATTTTATACAAATCTTGAAAACTGCCCCAATCCAAGTCAGATAGATGACTTATGTTTCAAATTAGGACAAGTGGACTCAGATGCAAAACCTAAAGAAAACGGGCTTATATGCCTTATCCAAAAAATTGATTTTTGCTTTTACTATAAATGCATGACAATTGCTAATCTAGTGTATAAAAAAAATAATGATGCCTCACACGCATGACCATGCTCATCTAGTGGACTAGTGGTAATACAAGCTCTGCCTCGCAGTAAAATTTGCTGCCAAAAACTGCCATTTTTTCTGATTTTTCAGTATTTTGCACCAACTAAAGAGTAATGCAGAATATAAGCATATTTTTCTCGCCGCATAGACTAGTGATCTGCAATCCTGTCAATAACTACAAAACGCCAAAACTAACAAAAAGAGAAAAACAAAGTAACATACGACAGGCATTGTAATCGAACATTCAACCTAGAAATAATTTAGTACATATAAAGTTACCAAAGAATCGATGAGTTTGGTGTTTTTGCCGCGCTCTCGAGTGACCACCACTTTCGGATTTGAAGCCGAAGGCAAGGAAGCTGAAGCCGATGAACATCTGATCTTGATGGTAACCGCTGTGCTCCGAGATTCCGAGGTAGTCCGAGAATATGACGAATAGCAGTGTATCGCAGGGGTAGAAACCGTAGAAAATGTATAAAGAGAAAGCGCGGCCATTATTTCCTAGTGAGGATACGTGTATGTCTTGAGACGAAGTCGCTATTTTTTATAGCTTTTTTGTGGTTATTGAGCAGTGAGCACTGGACATACAAAAATATATTATTATACTAACTAGAAACTTACTGTGCTTAGCACAGCCGGCCATACAGTTTAAATTTTTTTGATCTATTGAGATTAAAATAGTGATTTATTGTGCAAAAATGTTGGTATTTATGATAGGTGTAAGTAGTTAATAGTTTTTTATAGTATTAAATTGAGTTATTGTGAATGTCACCTATTATAGTTGGTAGTAGGTGAGAGTTTTGGTAGGTCATTAAATATTATTAATAAAAAAAGAAAAAAATCAAATAAAAATTGTGGACTCATATGTTTATAATATCTCTCTCTCAATCTGAAGAAGTCATTGTTCGGAAGTTTTT